CTTTATTCATGAAATACTTTAATTTAAAAATTTCTCAATATTTTCCATAGTTTAATTTATATAGTTAATAGCTTTATGACATCAGTCTTATTAACTGATATAACTTTCAAAAACACTTAGCAACAAATGCTGAAAGATTTTTTTGTACATGACACCTTCCTCAAAGAAATTTAATAGTGCTAGACAATAAACCCAGCCTTTATTTCCTAAATAGAAAATATATAAATCTGTATTTCCAGAAGAAAAGTGTCACTATAGCCACGTTCACATTTGTGGCAAACTGAACACCATATTTATGTACATATATAGAGATATGTAAAGGGAACAGAGAACTTCAAATTTGGAGAAACAACATGAAAGGAAAAAGGTTTTCAGATAGATGTCTTGTTTTTTGCAATTTATTCATAAAGCAACTACCCCTTTAATTAAAAAAAGAATAGTACATTTTTTATTTTAAAAAGTTGAGTGCTTACGAATAAAAGCACCTAATGAATATCTGTGGATATTGTCATGTAAAACATGGTAGTTATTCCCACAGCATACAATACATACCATACAGTTTCATGCCTTTATGGAATTTTAACTACTGTTCATTACTAATTTGTACTAAATATTACTAAAGTGCCTCTATTTTATAAAATAAGCATACCTAAAGCATGAGCATATCAACTATCTTGCCTTAATTGAAAGAGTGACTACATGGCTGACTAAGGGAAACAGGGGCCAAGTCTCTGATTACTGGCTTCATTCTCTACATCAATGATTTCCAACTGTTAATTCGATGCCAAACACAGGTGATCCCAACTATCTTTAGAGGCATTGTGATCTTTCCATAACAAAGCAAAATAAGTACACTTAAAAAGAAAACTACAAAGTATTTGGAATAGAGAAAAGACATATAACCCCGTCAAAAATATAATGGAAAAAGTGTCAAACTCAGGAGGGAGGGCTGCTGTAATGAGCTATGCTACAGATCTTCAGTCAGTTACTAGTTTATTTGGTTCCACACCTTAGTGCTTCAATAAAGCATAACAGAACCCTAACTGACCCAAACACTTCAGAATTTTGTTAATGGATGAGTTAATTATTTATTCTCTTTGACTTCAATATTTATAAGAAATCTTTTGTGTAAGATTATCTTGCTACCTTGGGAGAAATATTAAACCCAACTGAAAGTTTCTTGATGTTGAGAAACAAATTATTCTATAGGTGGGGCCAGCAAATGTTTTCTTACAGGGCTAGACAGCAAATATTTTAGGCTTTGCAGGCCACCAGACTACTGTGAAAGCAGCCACAGATTAATATACAAACAAGTGGACATGGCTATGCTCCAATAAAACTTTTTTTTTAATATATAAAAATAGGCTGGTGGGTTGGATTTGACCCATGAACCATTATTTGCCAAATTCTGGTCTAGAATATCTTTATATTGAAAAATTCTTCATTCATACTTTTTAAAGTTAGAAATTCCCATAGAATACTATTCCTGTAGTCAAAAGGTGCCTTGGTCATTATTTTTCATTAGAGAAAAAGCACATACCCCAAAAAGGCTGCATCAGTCTGGGCTCTACTAGCTGGGCATTTGGGATATATACCTTAGGACTAGACTGAAGTTTACCACTGCATTAAAAAAAGAGTATTGTGTACCTGGGTGGCTCAGTCAGTTTAGTGTCCAACTGAGGCTCAGGTCATGGTCTCATGGTTCCTGGCTTCAGGCCCCATATCAGTCTTTGAACTGACAGCACTGAGCTTGCTTTGGATTCTGTCTCCTTTTCTCTCTGCCCCTCCCCACCTGGCACACTCTTTCTCAACAAAATAAGTAAACATTAAAAAAAAAAAAAGTATTTTATTTGATCACTGTGATAACAGGGCAAAAGAGGACTGAGGTATAAATGCTAAACCTACTTAAGAAAACAAACTTAAAGTACTATAGCAATTATAGGCATACAGACTAAGATTATTAATTAGAAATGAATTTTATCTATTTATTAAAGTATGTCAGGGTTAATCTTTACTTCAGAATAGTTAGCCTTTGGTTACCCTTATGCATGAAATAAGTAAAAGAATATTTATTTAAAACTTTTACATAAATTCCGATTGTTCTCTAGTTCAGACTGCCTAGCTTTCAACTCAGTAAAGTTTTACTAAAACATGAGATATTCATTCATTTATTCATTCATGCATTTAAAAATATGTATTGAATTTTTATTAGCACAGAGGTATTGTTTTATAAGCTGAAGATTCAAAAATAAAACACAGGAAGAAGACTTCCTTAATGGTAGATTCCAAAGAATCTCCTTGGAAAAGTTTAATAAATAAATAAAAATAATAATTGTGAGAAAATGATAATAGTATTGTAGGACTAAGTTAATATGAAAATTAATTTTCAAGTTCAAAAAATGCTTTAAGTATTAACTATTAGAAATCTTAACAAATAAGTATTATATCATTTTTACATATACCCCTATAATTCTTCATTATTTGATATTAAATGAAATAAAAAATGAAATATTGATTTTCAGGTATATAATAAAACAGAATGTGTATATTACAAGATCAAGTTTTTAACAAATATTTAACAAAAGCCCTAGATGTAGAATATTACATATAGAATAACCCTTTCTGTGTGTTTAAGGATAAAGACACTTGAAATGTTTCTGAAGGAGCTTTAGTGGGCCTGAGGACAGAGCTGGGAGTCAGTGAGAGGGAATGAAAGGGAAGAAAGAAGTTATTAATTTTAAAGTAAAATTTTTTAGGGCACCTGGGTAGCTCAGTCAGTTGGGCAGCAGATTTGATTTCAGCTCAGGTCATGAGTTTGAGCCCCACGTTTGGCTCGACTATGCTCACAGTGTGGAGCCTGCTTCAGATCCTCTGTCTCCCTCTCTTTGCCCCTTCCCCACTCACTCACGCATACTTTCTCTCTCTCAAAAATAAATAAATGTTTAAAAAAATAAATAAAATAAAAAAATTTTAAAGTGTTTAACACTGACAAAGACAAAAATTAGTTCTCATTATAAGATATGCAAATAGAGGATTTTTTTTTGAGGGAAAGTTATATTTTAATGTATCTTTTCATTCTGCAACTAAGAATGCTTTTCCCTATCCTAACCTATCCAAAACAATTGACTTTTACTTATTTATTTTGTTTTTCAGGTGGAAAAGTTGAGAGGTGGAAAGCACAAAAACCCAAACAATGGGTATCAACATACTTAGGATGAAAGAGGGAGGGACTATCATTTACTAAACAGATGCCTTGAGCATCCCGCACACCAAATGCTGTGAGCAAGGATAGCTACGATCTTCCTTTTCCTTTTCCCTCTACTAAGAATATCCACAACCACAAAATTAATTAAAGAAACTTTTCTGGCTGCTTTTTGTTTTCTTTTGGAGCGACAGACATGACAGATTGGGTTCTTATGCTCTAATGGCCCATCATGGGAATTTTTAACTTATGCAATTATAAAATAAAAATGTACTGATGCTAAAGATACCTTTATAAATCTATCACTTTACTCTTTCCTCATGACTTATAGGTTAATTATGTAGCTATACAGTCACATAAAATTTCACTGAAAAAGTTATAAGCATTACTAGTTGGTGGACATGAATGAAACAAATTAGGACTGGACTTCTCAATGATTCTCAAGCTAAAAGGCTAAAGGATAGTGAAATTTCATAAAACTTCTTAGAATTGTATTGTACAGGTAATTATCATTTTGTGAAGAGTATACAAGTTTTATAAAGATTTCTCATGCTTCAGCAAATCAGAAATAATAATAAGAGTACACATTTTCTTATTTAAAACCTTACATTTGCAACGGAAAAGCCAGCATGTTGCTAACAGTTTCAACAGAAACTTATGAGAAGCAAACAAGGCAATAGAAACAAATATGGTTTTCTGAAAAAAAAGTGATAATGATTCTAAATACAAGAACTGATTTCAAATTTATTTTAACATATACTCTAGAAGCATGGTAATTTCTGGATGTCTATTTCAATGGAATGTAAAGAAAGAATATTGACATCTAACTGACTCAAAGTAAAAAAATATATGGATTCTACAAGTTGAGTCTACACAAGTAAGAGTGACTTCCAGAAACAACCATTAGTTTACTACTTATTCCTTTCCATTCATTTTCAAACTTCCTAATATTTAGGTTAAAAATGTGCTTGTGGGGTGCCTGGGTGGCTCAGTCGGTTGAGCAGCCAGCTTCAGCTCAGGTCATGATCTCACGGCTCATGAGTTTGAGCCCTATGTCAGGCTCTGTCCTGACAGCTCGGAGCCTGGATCCTGCTTCAGATCTGTGTCTCCCTATCTCTCTGCCCCTAACCCACTCGCATTCTGTCTCTGTCTCTCTCAAACGTAAATAAACATTAAAAAAAGAAAAAAAAAGAAAAAAAGAAAGAAAATGTGCTTGAGAAGACCTACCAATGAAAATGGTAAAATTAGAACAGTGTTCAGTTTTCATGTTGAATAAAAAACCTAGCAAACTTACTAAATAATTAAGTCTGGATTTGTATTTTTTCATTTACCACTTCTGACATTCAAAATATAGTTGATCCTTGAACAATGCAGACAGGTAAGGAATGGTAACCCTCCATGCAGTAGAAAATATGCATATAATTTTTGACTCCCCCTAAACTTAACTACCAATAGCCTACTGTTGACCAGAAGCCTTACCAATAACATAAACATTTGATTGACACATATTTTGTATGTTATACGTATTATATACTGTATTCTTACAATAAACTTAGCTAGATAGAAGAAAATATTATTAATAAAGTCATAAGAGAAAACACATTGTCAGTACTGTACTGTAAAAAATCTGTATAAGCAGACCTGCACAGTTCAAAACCTTGTTGTGCAAGGGTCAATTGTAGTTAAAAGCAGATGTGAAGTTTTCCCCAGTCTGCACAGTACATATACAGAATATAACATACAACTTTTTTAGTTGTAAAAGTCTGAAATTCTCTTGTCCATTAACATATTTACTGACCTCTTCTAGGACTCTCGTGATTGAAGAGAATGCCATTCACCGCAAAGAGATTATATGCCTCACGGAAGTTCACCACAATCCAATAGGCATAGAGTTTTGCTGCCCCTGTTGAACAATTTTTTAAAAGGAAATAAAAGACAGTAATTATTATAAATGATGGTGTCTCCTTATAAAAGACAGTGATTTTCACTCATCTTAAATAAGTAACAACTTGCAAAAACTATAATTTATATTACATTAAGATAGAAAAAAATTTGAATGAAAGCCAAAGACAAAATAAAGTTTCTTTTGCCAGTTAATCATGTGCACAAGAAAATATTTAAGAATTTTTTACTTTTGTAATAGCCACAGTTCTGTCTTCCACAATCTAACTGATTCAACTATAGTATGCAATATATCAAGTTGACCTAAGATCTTATTCCCATTTTCTTAGTTTTAAGGAATTAGAAAGTAAAAAAAAAAAAAAAAAAAAAAAAAAAAAAAAAAAAAAAAAAAAAAAAGGAATCTTAATATTCTAGATGCTTAGAAGTTTTATCACTAAAGTCTTCCATGAATACTCTTTTTTAAAAAATATATAAGATATAATAGACCTGGTTTTTTTGTTCATTCGTTTTTAAATATCTGAACCCAGGGAAACTTCCGTTGGGAAAATAAAAAACATGAAATGAAATCTATCACTTCAGCAAATCTTACAACAGTTTAGTAAAAAAAAAGTCATGTGGGCCTAATTTTCCTTTCAAAGTGATCTGTATGGAAGACTGAATGAACATGGATTGGTGAAGTGAAGTGGTAATTTCACCCTGGAGGCAATGGTAGCAAATACTTGTAGTTAGCAGTGTATAAAGGTATGCTTCTCAATGTCTGCTCACTTAGTCCAATCTGAGTGTTAATCTCACACTCAAATGACTTCAGATGAGAGAAAGGAACAGAATTAAAGCAGAAGCACACACACGCCCATGCCAAAAGAACATGGCACATGTACAAGTTTATACCCATGCATTCTCACCATACGGTGACCGAGGATAAAAAGGAGTTGTCTCCTTCTGGGGTATTTCTTGCACTTTCCCATAAAGTTCACTAGTTGAGGCTTGGTAGAACTTCACAGAGTTGATAAGGCCACAGGTCTTAACTGCATCCAGAAGCCGCAAAGTGCCAACTCCATCAACATCTGCAGTATATTCAGCCAAGTCAAAAGAAATCTGGAAATAGCAGGTGAAGACAGTGTTACATTAATGTTTAGCAGCAACATAGATGCTGACGGTGGTAAAACAAACACATTTTACAATTTCACTTACTTAGAAATGTTATGCTTATAAAAAAAATCATACAATTTCACTCAAATATGGAATTTAAGAAAAAGACAGATGAACATAGGGGAAGGGAAGCAAAAATAAGATAAAAACAGACAGGAAGACAAACCATAATAGACTCTTAATACAGAGAAGAACCTGAGGGTTCCTGGTGGGGTGTTGGGTGGAAGAAGGGCATTTGTTGGGATGAGCACTGGGTGTCATATGTAAGAGATGAATTACTAAATTCTATTCCTGAAATCATTATTACATTATATGTTAACTAACTTGGATTTAAAATTTAAAAAAAAGAAAAAGAGGGGTGCCTGGGTGGCTCACTCAGTTGAGTGTCCAACTTTAGTATAGGTCATGATCTCATAGTTCGTGAGTTCGAGCCCCGGGTCGGGCTCTGTGCTGACAGCTCAGAGCCTGGAGCGTGCTTTGAATTCTGTGCCTCCCTCTCTCTCTACCCCTACCCTGTTTGTGCTCAATCTCTCTCTCTCTCTCTCTCTCAAAAATAAATACACATTAAAAAATAAAAAAAAAGAAAGAAAGAAAAATAAATAAAAATCATGGAAAAATATTTTCTAATAGCAGAATAAGAGTATGAATGTGATCTATTCTAACATCAAATGACTGAAAAATATCTTAAGAAATATCTATTAATTATCCATGGTAAAGTGAAGAACACTTTAAACACACATATTACTTCCTAATTCTAGGCTGAATTCCCTATGGCAGTGGTTCTCAAAGTGCAAACCCTTGCTCCTCAGAATCACCTGTGGTATTTCTAAAATGCCAGAATGAACCAATCTCTTGGGGGTAGAATCCTAGGAAATCCACATTTATAATGAGTCAATCCCAGTTGACTTTTATGCAGAGAAGTTTGAGAATATGTGTTTTGGACACAGTTGATTTTTTAAAAGATTGTTTTATTTTTTTAATTTTTAACTAAGATACAAGATTTTTAGCATATCACATGCATACATAATCTTTTAATTTTGAGGCACATTAAATACAGTAAGTACTAATGTATAGAATTGAATGATTTCCAAAAAGAGGTTTCAAGGAATAAATATTTTGCGCTTCCTTAGGATGGTTCTTAAAAATAAATGTGACTGATATATTATTTTTCTTAAATTATTTCTAAGCACAATAAATATAAATTAACCTAATATTAAAATGTCCCCAAATAGTAATGATGAAAATCTTTGTCACTGGTTTATTTGCAGGCCAATAACAGCTGGGCACAATACAAAGATGCTTCCCTGCTGCCTGGTGAATGACCTCAATCTTCACCTGGAAAAACCCCTCTCTGAGGTGAGTGAGGTTACCGGCCCTCATTGCTGCCAGTCCTGAGTGTCACCTGGGCACAAGCTGCAGTCTTGTGCAGTCTGTCTTTAGGGAACTTGGGCGATTGGTGAACACAGACCTGACTCAAAACGCATGTCATCTAGGCCTGTCAGTAAAATTCACATGGCAGACGTGAGATAAAACAGGATAAGAGTAGGGGTGCCTGGGTGGCTCAGTTGGTTAAACACCCAACTACAGTTCAGGTCATAATCTCACACAGTTTGTGACTTCGAGCCCCACAATCAGCCTTGTGCTGACAGCTCAGAGACTGGAGCCTGCTTCAGATTCTGTGTCTCCCTCTCTCTCTGGCCCTCCCCTGCTTGTGCTCTTTCTCTCTCAAGAATAAATAAACCCTTAAAAAATTTTATTTTTATTTCTTTATTAATTTTTTTACATGTTTATTTATTTTTGAGGGTCAGAGAGACAGAGTACAAGCAGGGGCAGGGCAGAGAGGAGAGGGAGACACAGAATCTGAAGCAGGCTCCAGGCTCTGAGCTGTCAGCACAGAGCCCGACATGGGGCTCGAACTCATGAACCGTGAGATCATGACCTGAGCTGGAATCAGACGCTTAACCGATTAAGCCACCCAGGCACCGCCCCAAAATTTTTTTTAAATAGGATAAAAGTATGTTTCCTCCTAAGCTTTCATAGGCAAGAAAGCACAATTTGGGGTTACACTTTTCAAGTAACAGTTTCTTACAATAAAATTTACATACCATAAAATTGACCCTGTTAAAGTTTACGACTCAGTGGTTTTTAGTATTCACAGCATTATGCACTCATCACCACCATCTAATTCCAGAATGTGTTCGTCATCCCCTAAAGAAACACCATACTCATTAGCAATCTCTTGCCCATCTTCCCTTCCCACCCCCACAGCCACTAATCTACTTCCTGCATCTATGCAGTGACCTATTCTGGATGTTTCATACATATGGAATCATAACATGTGGCCTTTTATAACTGGCTTCTTTCACATATCATATTTCCATTTCTCTTGGACATGTACCTAGAAGTAGTGTCATTTGCATACAACATTTAACATTTTGAGGAACTGCCACATTATTTTCTAAAGTGGCTGCACCATTTCACATTCTTACCAGCACTAAATAAGGGTTCCAATTGTTCCACTGTCTACTCAACACTTATTATAGTCTGTCTTACTGATTGTAGACATCCTAGAGAGTGTGAAGTTGTATATCACTGTGGGTTTTTTTATTATTAAGGTATAATAGACATAAAATATTATCTTAGTTCCAGGTGTACAATAATAATTTGGTATATGCATATATCATGAAATGGCCACAAGTCTAGTTAACATCCAACACCACACACAGTTACAAAATTTTTGATGATGACTTTTAAGATCTAGTCTCTTAGCAACTTGCAAATGATACAATACAGCATTATTAACTATAGTCATCATACTATACATCACCATGACTTATTTACTTTACAATTGCAAGTCTGTACATTTTGACCACCTTCACCCATTTCACCCACTGTCCACCACCTCACTCTCTTGTCTCTGGCAATGACCAAATTATTCTCTGTATCTATGACTGTATTTGTTTTCTCTTTTACTTTTTTTTAGATTCCACATACACATGAGATCATAAAGTAGTATCATGAGTAGTTATCTCTCTGTCTGGCCTTTTTCACTTATCATAATGTCTTCAAGTTTCTTGCATGTTGTCACAAATAGCAGGATGTCCTTCTTTCCTTCTTAATATAATATTCCATTGTATATATTCGCCACATCTGCTTTATCCATTCAGCCACCGATGGACACTTAGGTTGCTTCCATATCTTTGCTACTGTTAATAATGCTGCAATGAACATGAGGATGTAACTACCTTTTCCAATTAGTGTTTTCATTTCCTTAGGAATTGCTGGATCATATGGTAGTTCTATTTTTAATTTTTTAAGGAAACTCCATGCTGTTTTCCACAGTGGCTACACCAATACATTCCTGTATTCCCACTAATAGTGCACAAGGGTCCCCTTTTCTCCACATCCTCACCAACACTTGCTTTCTCTTAACTTTTT